CCATACAACTTAACCTAAGTGACTCTGTATCGGGCACAAAGCAGTTAATCACCCCATTACAAGACTTGAAGTGTGGATTAGCCAATAAATCACTTGGGGAATTTGAGCAATTAACCTGTCGATGACTACGGACATGGAAGGAGGGGGAGAATCACCATCGGAACTCATGACGTACTATCTTAAGGAACTTCTTCAAGAATTCCAATTGAACATTATTAACCATTTTAAGTGGCAAATTAACGAGATTAGAATAGATCTGAATATGACTCTTTCTGCTCAGCAAGGAAAGATCGACAGCAAAGATAAAGAACTTAGACAAACTCTTGGGGAACAGCTTCTGACGAGAGGGAGGTCACTTCCCAGCAGGACGGAACCATTAAGAAGCAGCTGCTGTCGTGGGAGACAGGTGAGGAGAAGAGAGACATTCCTTTTTTCTAAAAGATGCCAAAAAAAAGATGAAAGGGGGGGGCGGGGAAGGGAGGATGTATATCAAGATTGATTTGATAAGAGGAAATGCAAAGAGAGGGAATTGGGCGAAGCTGCAGGCAGAACTTCACGACCAGGGATCATACATTACCTTATTCCAAAATCATATCACTGACTGTATTGGGGGAAAATTAGTTAATCGTTTTGAGGATATTTTGGAGAAATATTATAGATGGCATTTCAAAACTGGAAAATACTCTGTATAATACTCTGTATAATGTTGACAAATTAAAAGGCCAACCCCAGTTCACGACACTGGAGTTGATAAATAGAAATTAGAAAGGAGGAAGTTACTTGCTGAACAAATAACAGAAATCAACTGATTGAAGATATATAAGCAAATACGGCCAGATATGAAATTTGAGGCTAGATGATGATGAATAATAATATTAGGTGTTTTGTTTGGAGGCACGTATATGGGAATAGCAAATATGTGTAAACTATAAGAGTGCTTAGGCTTACAAGATTAAATACACAGTCTTTTGTACATAAAAATGGAGATCATCATGGAAGGAATAGGCCTGTGTGGATATTATGGTACATAAGTAATTTTCAAGAGGAAATGAGAAATGTCTATGATGAGAGTCAGATGGATGGAATGCAGATGAGGGAATTTATAATACCTTTTTTATAGAGTTAGGATGTTTAGACATTCTATTAGATATTTAAAATAGGGATGTGGAATATAGCATGTGCAGATGCACATGGATATATTATTTCTGTAGTCAGAAGTTTATATAATAGTTAAGCTGGTATAGGAAATGCCTCCCCACTGTATGTTTTGTTAGTCTTGTATGTTTCGTTAGTTTCTTTGTGTCACTGATTTGTAGGTATTTCTGGTTTGTTTTTTGGTTCTTCTTTGTATTTGTCTTTGTAGGTATGTATGTCATAAAAAATAATAAAATGTTAAAAAAAGAGAAATGTCCTCCTGTCCATCAGCGAACACCATTTATGCGCAAGAGAAAACTATGCTGTAATTTCTTTGTGACAACTCCCATTTTTCAGCTTTCAATTGTTTTTCTGAAGAACAGTATTTCTGCAAGCTGCTACTTGCATTTTCAATCTTCTCCCTTATTTATAGTTTGCTTAACAATTACTACTAGATATATTGGACATGACTGAGTAACTGCATGATTTTTTTTCATATTTATACATTTCAAATGTATTACTATACTTTATGCTCTAAGTAACATTTATTTGTGTATACCCTGCCATAATGATTTCATATCTTTTGTAGCCTTCTGTAGTCATTAAGGGTTCTGATGAATTTCCATAAAAGAAAAAGTTTCCAGTATAAATTAAGGGACTTATTTGCAGACAGTCTTTAGCTTAGCATGTGTATCTGTACCTTTCCTTACTTTTTGAACAACAATATGGGTATATTTTAAAGGCTTTGGCTAATGAATAGTTCCAATGCTGCACTGTGTTTTTAATCCACTCACATTGATATTTTGTGCAATGTTTGCTACTAAGTATATTGGATATGCCCCTTCATGGATTGCTGCCTTGTCATGGCAAAGGAGCTTGAGTAACTCAGAGAAGCTATGGGCTATGCCGTGCAGGGACACCCAAGATGGACAGGACATAGTGGGGAGTTCTGACTAAACACAATCCACCTGGAGTAGGAAATGGCAATGCCACTCCAGTATCTTTGCCAAGAACGCCCCATGATCAGAAACAAAAGGCTAAAAGATATGATGCTGGAAGATGGGCCCCTCAGGTCGAAAGGCATCCAACATGCTACTGAGGAAGAGTGGAGTTAATCCGTTCCGGGAAAAAACATCGCTATCTGGAAACATCGCTATACGGAAAGAAAAACCCCATAGGAACGCATTAAACTCTGTTTAATGCGACGGCCATTTTGGAACCGCCGATCAGCTGTGCAAA